GCAGTTGCTTTTGGAACACAATAGAGCTCTATGGCATAGAGAAAAAAAATCTATAATCATGCAACAAGACGAAAAGAGAATTAAAAAGGACATCAAAAACAAGTACAGTTTGCTTGCAGTCACCAAGAATAAAACATTTATGAAACATGTTACATTTCAGTGTGATTAAAGTAAAGGGTCTGGAATACACAACCTGATGAAATACATCTGGGAACAGCTGGATTTAATTGCACCATCGAAAAAAATATCATCCACATCAGTTTCTAGCTTTCCTTTAGGTAAGACATCTCTGTAAACAAACCCGTGGCTCCCATGCATCAAAAGCTTCGGATTCATTTCTAACAAGGCTGAGAAGCCTGGAAGCCAGTACAAATAATTTCTCATCACCAGACTGCAAAGCAACATGACATATGGAGATGAGGAAGCTCAGAGAAGCAGCCACATCAGAGGGCATGTGTTAGCAATCTAAAGCGTACTGCTTCTGCGTTTGATCTGTTATCAAGTGTTTGTCCGGCCTGTGGCAACATGTGCCTCAGTGTGTCCGCTGTGCATTAAACCTGCATGTGTGATTAACTGTGCACATGCAGTGGCTAGTGAACGGTTGAAAGTAAAAGGAGTATTTCAGTACTGGAGACACACAGCTCAGATTGCGTTACAGGAACATCTCCGAGAATAGACTCTGACTCAGACTCTTCCTATGCATCTCTCCTTTTTCTCGGCAGTGATACTCGAATCAATTTCTGCTTCATTGTTCTGAGTTTTATCAACTTTACAAAAAAAATCCTCTCAAGGTTTGATTTAAAGTACTCGTTTCCAACTAGCTTGCATCCTTTCTCGAAAACGAAGTTGCTCGGCAACTGAGATGGACCTTGTGATGAGATCTTTTTGAAGGATTTAGAGATTTTTTTTTTCTTTCATTAAAGTCACCATGTGAAGATATTTTATCGATTAGAATTATATATATTTATAACTTTAGAATTGTTCTCATGGTTTAAAATCACACATTCGTGCCAACTATTTGTGAAGATATCAGCGTGCAAAGTTACCTTCCAGTCTAGGTTCAAAACAACATGGTACAGTTTTTTCTGATACTGATACGCCACTAACTTACATAACATGTGCAGTTCTGATCATTTTCATTTTCACAAAATGTATGTTTAAATCTATAATTCGGTATGTAGCACTGTTTCATCACTCTCTGAGAAAAAACTGAGAAGTACAAATCCACTCAAAAGAAAGCTTCGGTGAAGCTATATACTTCTTATTTGCATTTAGAAGACATGGAATAACATTGACTTCCATTTAGAATTATGTTTCTGGCCTATAAAATACGTGCCCTTTTGTGCTGGGAAGGTAATGCAAGGTGGGATCATTGGAGCTTTTTCACTGAAAACGTCTGGCTGCTGCTGCTGGAAATGAGGTTGGTGAGTTTGGATCGGAAAACAGAAATAATAAGCTACTGTACATTACTCCAAAATGAAGGAACAAGGGAAGCTGTGATTCTTTCACTTAAAAGGGAACTAGTTTACATCATAGTCCTTCAATCCATTGCCAATATAAGAAGTATTGATTTTTGAAACATTAAAATATACTTATACAGGTGCTACATCGATCATCATTACTGTATTCTAGCCCTTATTTCACACTTTCTTTCTTCATGCTGCCTCAATCCTTTTCTGTCCCTTGATGTGCTTAGTTTTCTTCCTCTCACATTGTAATTCACAGTCCCTCCCTGTGCTCTCTCTCTCTCTCTCTCTCTCTCTCTCTGGTACTACACCTTTTTTCCACCCTTCACACTTTCATCCTGGCAGACAGACATGAAGAGATGTGAGCTACAGTATGGGTGTGTTTAAAGTCTGTAGAGCTCGTGCACACTTTCAGAACATTTCCGAAGACCTTATTTGCATCATGAGGGTGGATATGGTGTCTATTTTGGGTTAACCAAATATACAGAGGAGGAATATATTTGGCCTTGGCTGAAAGTAATTCACAAAATCTCAAGGCTTCAATGCACTCCTGAAATGAAAGAAGTCCTATCAAAATATATAGAATATATGATTAAAAACAAAACCAAGTGACACAAATTAGATTCTTCACATACAACCGTGTAAAACATATTGTTCTCAAGAGGAGCGCACACAAATAAAAATGATAGGGTAGGTTAAACGACTGCAGATAATATGATGACCACTAGGTGTTGCTGATAACACCATGTCTAATTAGACAAGACAGTCCGCTTGCTACACTGTTTCAATCAAAATGAATTACCTTAATATCAATCAATATCTCAATACAATATTCAAAGGTCTTCAGACAAAAAAGGAACTGAAGGAGAAAATAAAGAAATAAAGAAAAAGAAAAAAGCTCAAGTCGAAGGCTTCATTCAACCCATGTGGCTCCTTTGTGTTAATGGTATGAATCCAGTGTGCCATTGATGCTAGGATTCTTTATATTCCAATAAAATAAGGAAAGCAAATGATTGGATGATATGTATGATATGATAATGTATACTCTGCATTGTTAGCTATAACTCTGTTTCTCATGATGAAAGTCAACAGTATCGTTTCAGGTTTTATGAAAAACTCAGTTCCCCTGTAGTTCATAACAAAAAACATAAATAATAGTTTCTCTCATGCAACACATATATTGTATTACTTTTAGTATTTTGTAATAAAAGCTAGTGTAAGTAAAACCACAAATAATGATATTGTAGAAAGGTTATCAAAATTGACAAATACTGTGCATCATTTAATGTTAAAAGATGTTCTTATAGCTGCTTACAACCACATGACTGTGTGTTAGAAACCCTGTATTACCTTTATTGAGTGCCTATAAGAGCTTTCTCTGTCTGTTGAAACAATGACAACATACACGTTGCACTTAAGCTTCAGCGCAATTAACCCTGACTGTTTATTTTAAATGGTAATACAACGTCTGTTCCACCCCCCAAAAAACCCTGGAGATCCACTAAAGCCCCCAATAATCCACACTACTTCTTGACAAAAAAGTCCATTATGTTAATGTTGCCTGGCAACAGGACTCCAGACAGTACAGGGAAAAAGGGTCTTGGGTTAATATTGATTCAAACTGATATTGGTTTCAGGAAGTAGCAGCTGGAACACTGTAAGTTTCAAGCTAAAAGCCAGAAGTGTTTTAGACTCAAGGGGAGCAGGGCAGATTGGGGGGGGGGGGGGGGGGGGCTGCAAGGAACATAACGGCACACAGATGATAGAAGTGAAAGGGAACCTTATGGATCAATAAACCCTGCAGCACATTTACAATCTGTCTTCCTCATCTCCACTCAACCTTGCTTTATTCACAGGTTCATTATCATTGAGCAAACTCTTTTTTTGTGTGCATCTACTGTTATGTGTCCATGCTTTAATGTTCAAAAAGCTCTTTATTTTTCTCATACTGCCTGTGCTGCAGCACCTTTTTCACCCTCTGTCTGAAACCAGAGCCCAGGCTGCTTTTTTCTACAATGTGTTGGAGTATTATCCAAAAGAAGTGCGATTGTTACATAGTGATGTCACTATGTTGCAGAAGTAAACAAAGGAGTCCAATTAAGGCGTTTCAGGCAGGTGGGGTGGGAGGGGGGGGGGGGGATTTGGGGAGTTTAGCCTTTGCAGACCATTTACATGCAGAAAAACCTATATAACACACTACAGGAAAGGGATGCCCCTAAAAAGCATAATAGGGTCTCTTTAATTTTGCATGGGTTGGTGTACTTTTCCTGGAAGCCTCACTCTGTGGCCTGTTGCTTTAAGTATTTTTTACTTTTCACTGCATAACCATCTCCTTCTCTTTTCCCCAGCTCTCTGCTTGGTTATCCTCGTAAATTAGTAAATACATTCCCTTTCACCTCCCTGCCTCCTTACAACACCCGTTATGAACCCAGCAGCTCCACACACTCCCATTGGCTGGAAGTGACATCACATCATCGCAAAGTGTCGAGTCAGACACACTCTCGCTCTCTCTGACAGATGATGCCCCCTTATGGTCGTACAGGAAACAGCAGTCATTTTAAAACTTGGGTTTTAAAGTCTACTGATGACCTATTTACATGTTTAACATCTGCCGAGAGACTGAAATACACTGACCCCAGATCGGTGATGACAAGTGACTTTCACCTTATCCGAGTCATCTGATCCCAGACAGAAGCTGTGTAGAGTAAATTGGCTTATGTTTTGTCTAGCTTACAGACCATTAGAGTGAATTAGACTGTAAGCCTTCCTGATTATTAAAACTAACAGGATCATGTTCAGGCTCTAATGGTTACTTACTGCACGTTGTAATCTGCCCTCTGGTGTTCTCAAATTACTGCAGACACATCCTGCACCAGCAGAATATGATATACTGCTTGAAGTCTGTATTAAGGTTTTTGTTCATTTTATTGTTTTGCTTGTTTCATTATATTTGCAAATGATGGCCATGAATGTGTGATAAATTCAACTGTGAATCAAAGCTTTGACTGTAAGAGACTTAACAAATATGATATGTGCGACTAGGGCTGCAAATAAAATAGATGGGTGATGTTTCAGATTAAATGTGTTTATATTGTTGTCAAGAATTAAACAAGCAGCACATTCTCACATCTGTGGAACTAAAACCTTATTTGGGTTATTTGGATAGTAAATCACTAAACAGCTGATTTATTACTGACAAAGTTCCTCATTTATTTTCCACCAAAGGACAAATGAATTGACATATTGCTGCAGCTCCAATTGAAACACTGGGGTTTTCTAGATGTGTCTGTCATCAGTGTCAGAAGTATTGTAAAGTGGTTAAGTGTACATGGTGAAAGTTAAAGGGAATATGAAGAAATTAGTATGTTGTGTGATACAGATAAATATAAAGAAAACATTAAAAAAAACATTATAACAAGGTAAGAAGGCTAAGCAGCATTTGAGTCTTGTGCTTGAGCTAAAGAAGCAGAGACTGTTTAGCTCAAGTCAAGTCCTCTATAGTATATAGGGTCATGTTGTAATAGTGATTCCTACCTTGCGGCTGGTGTAGTGGGCGTGTTTGGCCAGCTTGCCGTTGAGTCCCTGGAGGAAAACCTCGTCTGTGACTTTGCCCACATTCATACAGGCCTCGTCCAGCACAGAGAAGATGCCCTTATGCTGCTGCTCCACCAAGTCCACTATGATCTGATTATTGAAGTAATCAATCTGACAACAGAAGACAGGAGAATAAAAGTCACACTGTGTCAAAGTGACAGAAATATACTGCAGGCTGTACACTTTGACAAGGTAATAAAAGAAGCAGTGAAACTAATCTCCTGAAATCTTTGGGACTCGAGAAAGTCAAAGCTTTTTGGAAAGAATAAGACAATAAAGTGGTGAAACATGTTAGGGTTAAACGCCTGACATAATACATTTGATAAACACAAGCTATCAGTAAAACACCACTCATAAATGTTGGAAGCTTCCTAGAAAACGGCAGATGCTAACAAGTGGCCTAATGAGACGTAATCATGTCCAACATTAGCCGTCTTTAGCTTAGCGTAAGTGATGCGCAGCCATGGTACCATGATGTAGTTTATATCCTAAGTTCCTAACGTTAGCTTTTTAGTCCTGCCAGTTGCAGTTACTCTTAAAAAATCATAACGTTGGTGTTTAGCTAAACAAAACATGCATCATTGCCACACATGTTCTGATCTTCTGAAATATTCTTAAATCCAATGAAAAAATCCAATTGCTTTTTGATGAGGAAGCCCTTGTGAAGCAAATTTCCAGGTCGGCTAACAAAAGTCCCTCCACTCCACCGCTCTGTGTCTCTGTCTTTAAATATTTGGCATTGGAAATGCAAAATGATGCAACTAAGCATAACAAAACAGAAACAACAATCCCCCTTACATGTTTCCATGGGATGCCTTCTCGTTGATACTCTTCCTGTTCCTGCTTTAGCACCAGCTGGATGAACAGTTGCTGCAGCTTTTCATTACAGTAGTTGATGCAGAACTGTTCAAAGCTAAAGAAATAGAGGGGATTGAATGTTATGCATACATTTTAATTATATATGGAGAAATGTAATCTTTGTTGTTTTTGTTACAACCAAGAAAATCTAATAAATACAGACAGAAACGTAACATTCTGTTAGAAAGGATGCAGATGTTTTGATGCTTTTTGTTTTGGTGGAACATTGTGTCTCATGCTAACCTGTTGTTCTGGAAAATCTCAAACCCGTAGATGTCCAGCACCCCGATGACGGTGTTCTTCCCGTGGACTCTGGCGTCGTAGTTTTTCACCTCGATGATGTCATTGATTCGTCCCACTATCCAGCAGAACAGTCGCTCGTACATGGCCTAAAGACGACAAAATATGAAAACAGGTTCATTAGACTAATTGGCTGGTGAACAAGTGCATTGCTCAAGGGCAGAGAGGATTACAGCACAGATGGGTCATTGAGTCATAACATGTGAGTCAGACCTTTGTTCACAGCCCACAGTGCTGGTTTAGAAACTGCCTACATACATTTCCTCCTCCACAGTCTCCAGCCTCTGTCTGGAGTCACAACATTGTGACTCATGCTTGTGTGAATTAGTGTGAATTGCAGTGAAACTATCGCCAAGCGCTTGGTGAAATGTCACAACCCCTCGCCATCTGCTGGTTGTGTTTTTCCCTCTTTGTGTGCGGCCAAATACAGAGAAAGTGTTGTGTGCAGTACTGCTGGACAAAAGGCCAACAACATGTAATTAACTATCAAACAGTTACCTTGGCTAAAGCGTCCCGTCCGTAGCTGGCCTCCTGCATCGTGTGCTGCTTCTCAATAACGTCCCGGCCCGTGGCCACGGTACGGTAGAGCATGGCCTTCTCCACATTTTCTTCTTTGGTGGACAGCAGGTCGCTAAACACAGCCACCAGCTTTGTGTTCTCTATCAAAGTCACATCTCCGTCCACCCCGAATGTCAGGTTGCCCTAGAAGAGAAGACAATGCATGGATTATTCGGCAGTGCATAAGGTATAGTTCATCATTTTGGAAAACACAAATGTGCGTTCTTGCCAAGAGTTTGATGAAAAGATTGATACCAGTTTAATGTATTTAATGTATGTCACTAAATATGAGGCAGTGATTAGCTAAGCTTAGCATGTAGCCGGGAAACGGCATGACTGGCTGTAGCCATTTGTGAATATCCATAATAGCAAATGTGTAACTTTGACATTGTTGTCTGTGAACAAATGATGTAAGGCTAGGTGCTTCTGTTCCAGCTTAGAAAAGCATAAAGATACAGATACAAGAGGGATATCCATCTTCTCAACACAAACAAAGAGAATAGGAACATTTCACCAAAAGGAAGGTTCCTGGAAAAGGATAACGATACAGTAACAGCGGAAATTCTTTAGACAGTTAAAATTGCAAATAAATAATAAAAATAAAATTAAACAAGAGAGTATTTTATACAGTGAACACCTGTTTAGCTGCATTTTTTATTACTGCAGGCAAACATCAAATGAACAAATAATGACTGTTCACTTAGTTTTCTACATATCACTTATCCTTTGAAAACTGTTTATAAACTCAAAATGACTAATAATACTCCAATCGTTTCCTTCTAGTTTCTCTATAGTCAGTACGAAATAATATAGTTATATACCAGAAATAGCCTAGGAAATTCTCAGGAAATTATAGACCCTTATAGACCGTATATATATATATATATATATATTTTTTTTTAATGAGCTGCTTTTGCATTGGAAATAGTACCCAGTGTCAAAAACAAACAAAAGAGTAAACAAATGTGTGCTATTTCAAATCCATACACTTACTATCCTGGCAAGCATACTGGCCCACTTTGCCAATATGGCTCTCATTTCTCTCAAATCTATACACAGTATCTCCCATATTGGGACTCAGCTGGCGTGAGACTTGAGCGGGGATTTTGATATTATCGGGTATTACCAGATGTAGGATGGTGGCCAGGATCTTGTAAACAGTCTGAATCTCATCCCCTGTGAAACCGATCACTTTCATGGCATCAGCCACAGCTTTGAAATCAGCGCCATCATTGATAGAAGACTAGAGAGAGAGAACGGGAAATGTTGGGAGAAGGATTCAAACAAAATACTGAAAGTAAACAGTGTTAAAGTTGATTGGATTTATCATTGTAATTCAAAATTAAGAACATTTTGTCTTTTAAAAAATGTATCTTGCTTAAACAAATATAAACATGGATCAAATACATTTTTCACAAGTGTTTTGTCCCGGAGCCAGTCTTTTCCTGTCCCTTTCAATTAAACTAGCAGGGGTATAATTTTCCCACAGTTAATGACATTAAAAACTGCTGCTCCACTGTTTTGTTTGGCTATAAAATAGGAGCCGCTGAGGCACACAGTGTATAAACCGCTACCTCAGCTGTTTGGTTGAGTTGTATTCCATTACGTCAGGCTGTTGTTGTGTTGCTGTCAAGTGGATTTGTTCCAACTCATTAACTCATGCAAAGACTGTGGCACGAAGCTGAGGTCTACATAAAAAAACACTCCTCTGTACAGTAACAGGGATGATGATTACTGCAATACTCTCTTTACATGCAATACATTACTTTTGTACTGTTTTGTTTAATACAATCTGTAAACTGTGGTGAGGAAACACATCTGTGTGTAAGTGGTGTGTTTGATTGCATCCATATCACTGAAGACAAACTCACACTGATGCTCTCTCAGACCTTTGTTCTCTGGTTTTCATTCTTTGCTACTTCTACTTTTGTTAGAATGTAAGTTAAACTTTAAGAAGTACCTTGATTTGGCCTCCAACTTTGATGTAGTTGTAGGCTGTCGCGTCCTTTTTGATGTGAATAGAACGTAACAGGGAATCTGGAGCTCCTTTGAGCAGCTAGGGGGGGAACAAAACATACATTATTACTGACAACATACACACAGCCCCCTTCTTGAGTTTTTGAATCATTAAACGGTCATTATGCAAACTTCTACCAACTGTCATTTATGACATTTTAACTCATATATCATTTATTACAGTCATTGGCATGTCCATGTTATTTGAATTTAATGACTGTACATCCAATAAATATGGCTTATTCATTTTCAATTCAATGAGCTCCGACTGTACATGTAGGTACAAAAGGCCCCTTGATGACTCTGCATGGATTCATATTCCCTGGTTGTGAGTTCAGTCATTTACATTATTAACAAACACATACTGTACAAATGCTCTTTACATATGTACCTGGTAGAATGAATGAAAGCTCCTCTCTCCTTCCTGTTGGAAAATGACCCTGGACTGTGGAAAAAGTGGAGCATTACATAACAGCAGTTTTAAAGCCACCCGGAGCATCAAACAAGCCAGTTATTCCCATTTGTTGGGATTATGACACTTTAAATTAGAGCTACTGTATGTCTACTCCAATACCTTTTCCAGAAGGTAGTTGTTGATGTGGCCTCCGATGGGGTCTCCCTTGAAGTCGAAGTTGATGTCCATGTATTTGCCGAAGCGGCTGGAGTTGTCGTTGCGGCTGGTCTTGGCGTTCCCGAAGGCCTCCAAGACACAGTTGGATTTAAGCAGCATGTTTTTCACCCTGTGTAAGGCAGGACGATAGAACAGGTTAAGACGTCGGCTGGGTATATATCAGGTCAAATTAGCAAACCCACATGTTTCATTACAGCCTTTTACTTTAAATCTTCTTAGTACATTTAAAATAAGTTAATAGGAAACAGCTTGTTAACAATATCAACTTTATAACATGATGATCCTTCCACATGCACATCTGATCGAAACCTATCCCTAAGCACATTTCAGGACACAATTATGAAAACCATGTACATTTACTAATTTATTTTTAAATACTGCTGGAAAGCATAGGCACTAATGTGACTTAATTGCATAAAAGCCACATGGTCACCTCCACTTTTTAAATACATAATTGTGTTGCACTTTGTATGTTCCCTACTGTATGTTTGTTTATGGTATGTGTGGCCTTATATGCCAGGGCCAAAGACACATTTCCATTTCATGTAATTGGTGGACAATAAAGTGATGCAAGTGTGAATGATGTGCCATTGTTGTGTTAATAGCTTGTTCTGCTGCCCTCAAGTGGACAAAAAATAGAATAATGCAGGTTAAAAAGATATCACCATGTACAGAATTATTAAAACAGAAAACCACATGTATAAATTCAGACAGATGTGTTGTGTCAGTGTTTGTATGTGATATTTGACCAGGTGCAGCTGGAGTTTTTAAATGTGTTTCCACTCGCAAACCGTGGCAAAGCTTTCCCCTGAGACCCACTAATAACTGAGAGGGAAGAGCAACAATCTTAGCTGATACCTAACTCACAAAGATAACGGACAATAAACTGGGAGCAGTCAGTAGAAGTTAGAAAGACTGATTGATCTGCCTCCATGTACACAATGTAGGACTTGACCCTGTGCTACATTCTTGCAGGAGAATCAATTCATCATTTCAAACGAATATCTACAATCTGTCATTTTGTTAAAAACCTCTTTTCAAAGAGGCGTTTTTTGCTCAGAAACGTCTGGCTTTTTATTTACCAGGTTTCATAACTTGAGGGCTAATGATACCATTGAAACTATATGACCTAATCTAAAAACTCTATTGAACCTAGATAACACTGTATTGCTTTTGTCCGAATAGCTGTAAAGTTTAGACTTAGCTGGTAGGAGTATAGAACATTTAATAGAGGTTTTTTATTGTTTCAAATATATTATACAGTGACATGGATATTGCAGTACTGTTAAGAATAAAAACATACATAACACATATTGCTCCTGTCACATAAAGACTGACTGACCTGTGACCCAAATGATACCCAGATGACATAGGATTTATGAAAATAAATACCTTTATTCCTGACCTTAACTTTGTGTGGGCTGTCAGTTATGGATCATATGGTTTAATAGCTGAGACTTTGATTTGTGGCAGTAATCATTTGTGGAATATGACTTGCTTCTATCAACCATAACTGCGAGATAAGAAATGTGACCTAGAGAATAGATCATTAAGAATGAGATATGAAGCTCTTTTATATGTACGTATTAAAATAGACCTTTCGCTGCAGCTAGAAACTCTCATTTGAGGAAGAGGATTATTGCTGAACATTCTTTGGTGGATTTTGAGACAGGTTTTAAATGACTTTTTATTTGTTATTATCCAATGTATCGCGACTTCTTTGATTTGTATGACTGTTTTTGTGGTTAACCATGCATAACAACTCCATTTTAAGAATTCAAAGAAAAACTCCTCCGTACCCACTCCCCATCCCATAATATTTGCAGTTTTAGTCACCAAACCAAGCCTGTGTACGGTCTTTTCAGTGCGAGTTAACCGGGTCAATAGCAGCAGCTCACCTTTCAACTTCAGCCCTCTGATTGGGATTGGTGATAGCAGCAATGTATTGCATTATGTACTTGCTGGCTTCTGTCTTTCCGGCTCCACTTTCCCCTGCAATGAAAACAATACACAGTGCAGTGAGTCTTTAAAAGTATCCATTTTTATTTCAGTAGTCATTTTTAGGCAGTTTGCTTTATAAATAAATGAATAATAAACCTGTTTCATACTTTAAAAACGAAACTTTATTGCACAAACATGTTTCAGTATACAACATCACTTTTATTTTGAAGTGAGTTAATAGACCAAACTATATTTTTGTCTGGGTATGGATTAGGGCTGTCCCGAATACCATTTTTCGGGCTCCAGATATTCTGTAGTAATCAGTAGCGAATAATCGGATATTCGGCCCGCGCGAACCGCTTCAACACGTGTATTTCGGTTTTATTCACGGCGTTCATTTTGTGGGGCATGTGGGTGAAGGATGTCCGATAGGTACTGGGGGGCAAGGGCATGGAGGGACTTGTAGGTAAGGAGGAGGACTTTGTAGGATATACGGGACTTGACCGGCAACCAGTGTAGGTGGATGAGGGTGGGAGTGATGTTAGCGCTGTTGACAGGAAGTTGTTGTTGCTATGGAAACAACGTGACGGAGATTAACGGAGAAAAGTCATATCTACATATAAAGACGGAGAAAGTAAACGATAAAGTTTATGGTTAAGTGTTAGCACCCCCCGAAGAGGCACAAGCTCTTACGTTGATATTGGAGATTTCAATCAATTCAATTTGTACAAAACAAAAATACGAGAAAAAAAAAAATTAATACGAATAGCCGAATAACGAAATTGAAACCCGAATAGTACTCCAACGAACGAATATTCGGATATTCGGGTACAGCCCTAGTATGGATTCATGACACCATGGTTTTAAGATGCTCAGTTCCCCCTTCTGACCACTAAGTGGTGCTTCATCCTCTGCATGGCTTCTCCAGCATGTCACACAGCTTATATCCACATAAGAACATCTTTTGTATTAATTACTTTTATTAACTTAACAAAGGTCAGAGGTTATATTAATATTTTCTGGACATTTGCCCCAGAACATCGGTCAGGAGAGATAACACCGGAGTAGAAGAGGAAATAAAGGAGGATTACAGTGTTTTTTTATATTTATTTTGTAAAATAAAGACAAGAAAAACAGGTTCTCAGAAGAAATGTGTTCCTTGACTTGTCGTTTCTTGTGAAATGTAGAGAGAGTAAAACATCTTTGTTCTCTTGGTGTGGCCCATGCAGGGGGGCTTTCTGTGTTACCTGAGATGACAATACAAGTGTCTTTGTTCCTCCTCTTCATGGCCTTGTAAGCAGCGTCAGCGATGGCGAACAGGTGGGGGGGCCTCTCGTACAGCTCGCGGCCCTTATACTGCTCCACCATGTCGCGGCCGTAGATGTTCATGGCACGGTAAGGGTTGACGGACACCACCACCTCCCCGATGTAGGTGTAGATCCTCCCCTTCTCAAACCTGAGGGAACAAAACGTGGCTTTTTAGTAGTTTTATCAAATGTTCAATATCCTTCTACTTGTCCCCATCTTGTGTTTGTGTGAAGCAGGCGAATTTACTCATTGAGTTTTCTGTCTTCATTTATAAGCATTTATATTTTGGGATGAATTTATAATCAAACTCTGCCAGAGAAGGAATAAAATACTTTTTTTCTAGTGTTTTTATTTACAAAACTACTGCTTTAAAACGTTTTGCATCAGTCAATACTTTTGTAGAATCCAGCATCAAGCAATTACCAGAAACTATTTGAAAAAAGGAAATTCTAATAAAAAATGTCAATGCATTAAAAATCATTCCGATACAAAGCAACATCACACTGATTGGGAAGGCCTGTCACTCAAACTCACACAATGACAATCATTATGCAGCAACTTCCTAAAAGGAAACAAATTAATTGTATCACAAGTGAAATTGTATTTCAATAACTGTATAACCAGCTTAACATTTGCCACTTTAAATAAATGTATCTGACATTTACATTGGTAAACTGTAAATAAGCCATATATATTGTGAGTTGATGTTTTCAATCTGTCCAGCGGCACAATTTTGCATGTTACAATCTTTCAGTTTGCATGTTACAATCTTTCAGTTTGCATGTTACTAGCTCAAAGCCTTTTTCAAAACCTCTATCACTGTCAATAAGGGAGTCAATATATCTGTCACCGATGCTGTATTGAGGGACAACATCAACTCTCTGCTTCTCTTCCTCCTTCAATTGTGTTAGTGCTGCAACATACAATGAGATCTAAACAATAGTGAGCTTCCAACTTTATGTCAACAGTATGAGTTTGTTGTCCCTTTCCGGTTTCAAATGACAATGTCCTCCATGCACAAAGCCAGTTCTATAAAGACATGGTTTTCCTGTTTGGTCAGGAAGAACTTGACTGGCCCGAAAAGTTTGGACTTCAACCCAATCCAACATGGCTAAGATGCATTTTAAACACCAACTGTGAGCAAAACCTGATTACCAAACAGCAGTGTTGGACCTGATGATGCTAGTGTGGCTGAATGGAGGATAAACCCTGCAGCCAGGTTCCAATATATTGTGCAAAGACTGTAACCAGAGGAGTGTCGTTTATTACAGCAGCAGATGAATGCCTATTGTTAAGGATGGTATAACAAATTACCCCTTCCTGCATGTGTGCAGAATGCAGGTTGGTTTGTGTGACGAGTGCTATATCAATAAACTTCCATAGTCATTACAACTTTTTATATGGTCGTATTTTTCTGACATCGACATATTTTTCAAAGGTACAGAGTAGCTCTATCTCACTTTCTGTGCCCATCTCTCTCTAAATCACACAATCTTTTGATCTCTGTCTCTCTCCCCCAGCCTCAGGCCTGACTTCCTTCCTCTCCAAAGAGAACTAGGAGCCCAGTTTCTCTCAACAGAAGAATGGCCTCTTTCTTCACAGCTGCCAAACCTCTGCCGCTGCCTTGCAAACAGAGCCAAAAGCAGATTATTCCAAAACGGTCCTAACAGGCCCACGTAAAGTGTTTGTGATTGTGGGTTTGAAGCGATTGCCAGATTAAAAATCAATCAAGCTCTCATATTTGCTAAAACGACTTGCCAGATATTGAGTTACCATATATTTGAATGAAATTGCTGAGTCACTGGTAGAATTACAAATCAAGCGCTGAATGACGAGAGCATTATTACTCAGCTTAAACAACCTTAACATACATCCAACTGGCTGTTGATGGATGTCCATGACATTCTTCTTGTTTATCAGTGTTTCTAAACCTTGCATTTTTCAATCATTTTGTATAAATCCTATCCGCACTGAACTTTTAAAAAGGTATGTTAATAGTGCATTTTAGTGGGAACAAAAAAACAGTAACCAATTGTTGAGCATGGCAACGTCAAATAAATTAGTGCTCAATATTATCATCGAATTTACAAGTGAAATACTGAGTACACATCACAACGCTATAGGGTGGGATAACACATGACTCATGTTGCAGCTAGGTACAACAATGCTTTTCCACAGCAGTACACACACTACACATGCTGGATTAGCTCATCCTTATGTGTTCATACTGCATGTCAGTAATCTTACTGTATGTCAGGCCATGCACAAACTGGCACGGCTGGCTGGCAATGACCTGGGATGTCCAATGGTCCTGGTCAGGATGGGACGATATGAAGACGGCAGAATAAAGATGCAGAATAAGAGGCTTTTGTGTAAATAATGCCACTTTCTGTTATCGGCAGAGAAATAATAATATTCAAAAGAAACAGAAAATGCCGTTTTCCTGATTTACTCCGTTTTATATCATATCATCATCCAAAAAAGCTTTGGGTTAAGGACTGACTAAAAAAGACATTCACTTGGATTTTGACGTACTGGGATGGACAGTTCTTACTTTTCTCTGAAAATATTTGTCAGATTAATTAATAATGAAAATGTAAAAGCTAAGCTAACTAGCTGGCTCTTCGGATCCTGATGCCACAGAAAAAGCCATTGTCCCCCCCCCCCCCCCCCCAGTCAGGAGGCTGCTGTGTGCCCGCTCCATTGTTCAAATGTCAATCGGAGGTCTTTGTCTCAGACGTCGCCCCCTGCATGGGCCAACACGGAGAGCTGCCCACTCAACGTACATGTACAATAGCTGCTGGGGGATCTTCAACAATGGTTGAGGTGAAGGGAGGGGGGTGTATGTGGAGTCCCAGCTGCGTACTGTATGTATAGAAAGGAGGTGATGGCGTATGCTGTCCAAAATGAAAACATCTGGAGGTATTTTTCATCTTGGGAATTTATATGGTTCCAAACCAGACGAAAGGAAAGCTCATAAACACCTAATAATATTGTTTAAATGCAAGATATTAAAATAATCCACTCATGTTTAGTGATAAAAGGAGACGTAAACATTCCGCTATACTGTTAATACCAAATATGTGATTGTATTTCACCATTGTGGGATTTGATTGAGATGTGTCACCCATCTGTATATCCAGATCTTTATTGATGAATAATGATAAGTGACATTGGTTGAACTCTTCTTATCTGTACATTACCGGTATAAAATGTCTAACAACGTGAATATACCATTATAAAGCAAACCAGTCTCAAGGGAGTATTGTTGCCCTTGTACATAATCTGTGTGACTAAAATATGTTTATTTATGTTAAGGCTTGCATTTTATGTCAAACTCTGCAGCCCCATGAGTTCAAAAAGTTAACTACTTGAATGTTAATTAATGCAAGCTGATTTAATAAACACCCCTGAACAAGGTGACAGGTAGAGACTCATTTATATCAAAGGAATGGCTTTCACTTTCACAAATGTGCAAAAACTATCACTTATTTGAAGTTAGGCAATGTTGCTAAATTGTTTCCAAAAGGACAAGAAGTTCAGGCAAACCATTACATCATTCAAATACACATCAAGGGGTTTTTGAACAAATATTATCATTGGGAGTGTCAGTCTGGTATTGTAATTTTCATTTTTTCCACCCAATAACAAAACATTACACACTAGACAAACCAAACCGCATCAGACTATACCACAAAGTGTGGATTCTCTGTGAAGCTGCACAGCTTAGAACAACACAGGCAGACATTAAATCATCAAATCACTGACAATCTAGATCTAGAGGTGCCCGGGATTTTTACCCCCACCTCTAAATTTACAATCGCATCATTTTTGTGACAAAAAAGGTTCCACGTCGAGGAGAAAAGAGAAGAATCAATCAGTTTGTGCGTGTCAACTGAGATTGAGCGTTGGCTGATCCATCTGCTCCACTCTCATTTAGGGGATTTAATAGACGCAGGATTAGAGGACTGTATGAGTCATAGTAGTCTCCTAGAAACGCTATTTATAGTTGCATGGAGACTGAATCAGATTTCAATGTAGTAACACTTTTGGTTATTTTTTGACCTTCAGCATAAATTGGGCAATTTGAAGCTTCATGTTAGATTAAGATTGAGATGTAAATTTAAGTTTGAAAGTACATAAAACTAGAGGGAAGGTTTACCAGTCCATTAATCCTTTGAGGTATAACAGCACAACTCTTACTTCATCATCCCCCCCCCCCTCCTTCATCTTTCTGTCTGTCCAGCTGTGAGGGGAAGTGTGTCCGAACTGATCTGACCGGCAGCCCTGTGATCTATTTCCGAAAGGACCCATCCCAAAAGATGCCAGGAAATGAGACAGAAACAGAGAGAGGAGGTAGGCGTGTAGAGAAAAGGGGATAGAAAGATCATACGTGCAAGAAACATCAGATATTGTGAGACCTGTGATGATTTATGTATAGTCTGACTCCCACTGAGGGACCTGCTGGTGTGAAATGATGATGAGACTATTTATGTGCAGCTTGTTAGATTCTGAACTCTGCATACTACAACAGAAACAAAGCTTGTTCGTTGTTTGAGGTTTAAGACAGTCCCTGGAATTTCCCAAAAATGAACCCATTCATGTTTTCCGTATCTTCTGGCTGTTAATAGCTCTGAAAACAAAACAGAAAATCCTGCACATTGTTGATCATTCATACTCAGTTTATTTGTTGTTAAATTGAGGATTGAATTTGATTGTAATCTTTTAATGACTCAAGTCTATGCTCAGACCTGCCTATATTTAAGCCTTTAGAAACTGAACAAAGTTTGCGCTTTTATATTTTGCAATAGTTAAAAAGCCAACATAAGAGCATGTGTACTCATAAAATACACAAGCTCCATCAGGTCAACCAGCTAATGTTAGCATACTTGCTCATAGGAGATTTGAGCATGACAGACAACTAGCCTGTTTATCTGGTCCTGGTGTGACTGTCTGACCAATAGGAACTAGTTGCAGTGTATCAAAATGAAGCTGCTAATGGAGTCTGGGGAGCTGTGTCCATGTTTGGAAATAACACTTTTAAGTATTATACTCTAAGATTTGTTGTTTTTTTCTTGATACTCTTGAGTTGTTTATATTCCTAAAAGTTGTCAGTACTGTTATTATCTCTACCAACATCTGACTATG